ATTTCTTTCCCCCTTTCATTCCAAACACATGGGAAGAGGCATCTTTCTGCTCTTATGTTCAAACTGTGCATTCTCTTTTCTGACAGCTTTCTGAATAGCAATATAAATTTCTTCTACTAGCTCCCTCTCCATTCACCAACACCCCGCCCCCCCATCTGGAATTCAGGAGAGGTGGCTGTCAATCCTCTTCTTAAACATCTCCAGAGCCTAAGAACCCACAGCCTGTAGAGGCAGACTGCTCCACCTATAATGGTGTGTGGACATAACCTCGGGAGACAGGAGGAAGAGCCGCAGTCTAGACAACCATGACAAAAAGGTATCTCAGCCCACAGAAGCAAAAGGGGCGTGGGAAGAATTGGAGAAGGGACCCTCCCAAATTGCCTGGAAAGTAAAAGTAAATGAGGAAGAAGTGTTTTCCGACTTGCAAGATTCTGTTACACCTGCTCCCGGGAGACCATTTTTCTTTTCTTCTTTGGTATCCTCCCTTTCCTGACACAAAGAGAAAGCAAGGAGACACTGCTTCAAATTTTTCTGGCATGTGCTAATCCTCCTCCTCTTCCATCTAATGCACACAAATTCAGTAGTTACTCTCCAATTGAAACAGCACTTAGAAAACTGGCCAGAACACCAAGTATAGTTTATCTCTCCCGTCTCTAGGAGATTTGCAATGTAATTAGCCTCATTATTGACATGTTGATCATAGCAAGACTGAAGTAATGATTAAGCAGATGGTGACTTTGAGAGCTGGAAGATTCAGTTTCTTTGTGACACCTGGACAAATTGGTGCCGTGAGGGTGAACCTATGGCACGTGTTCCAGAAGTGGCATGCAGAGTCATCTCTCCAGGTACGTGAGCCATCGTCCATTGCTCCTCTGAGTTCCGGTGCACCGGCCAGCTGGTCTTCACACATGCGGGAGTGTCAGAAACTGGAACAGCAGCCTCCCAGTGTACATGCACGCTCTGGGAAGATGAACTTCCAGTTCCGGGTGTGTGCATGCACAGCGGCCAGCTGGTCTCCATGTGTGCATGCAGACCAGAAACCAGAAGACCAGGTGGCCAGAGCGCATGCACACGCCATGAACTGGAAGATCACTTTCCCAGTGCGCACATGCGCACTAGGCAGCTGCTCTTCTGGTTCCCAGCATGGTGCCGAAAAGGTTCGCCAACACTGCACTAGTGACACTACTAGTCTTTGTGTATGACTTCCCTTCCCTTCCGGCATTTTCATTATGCTCCTAAGCTGGGTAACAAACAGAGCTCCAGGGAAGGTAGACAAATAAGAGAGCGAAGCACAGGGAGAAAGACTGGAAGAAGATGGTTCCAGGGGAAGGGGTGGGTGGGCATGTCCATTTCCTAGAAGCTTATAAAATGGTTATAGGAAGGAAGGACAAGCACAGCTTGCTCAATAAGATATTTTGGGCTTCTCAGTGAGCTGCTGCTTCTCCTTTAGGTCCATCATGGTATGGAACATTTTGTGGTTCATGTGTGGCACTAGTCTCAGAGGTGGGTTCCTACTAGTTTGGCCGAATAGGTGGTAATTCGGCCAGACACGTGACCGTACTGGTTCTATCCTGGCGTCGCCATCTTTATTTTCTGTTCTGCACATGCGCAGAACAATCTTCACTGAAGAAATGTATCCCCCCCCCCACTTTTTTTTATAATAGTGTGCACATGCCAATCCCAGAGAGGTCCCAGAGATGGGCCATTTTTTCACTAAAATGGAGGCAGGGCTGGGGGAAAGGAAAAACGCCCTGTGTTTTTGCACAAAATGGGTGAAAAAGGGGCTGTTTTTCCACAAAAATGGAGATGTTTTTGCCTTCCCCAGGTCCCAGAAGCACTCTGCAGGCTTCAGCAGGGTTGGGGAAAGGCAAAAATGCCCCCATTTTTTGCACAAACCAACCTGTCTTCTACCTATTTTTCACAAAAACGGGGGCGTTTTTGCCTTCCCCCAGCCCTGCTGAAGCCTGCAGAGTGTTCTTGGGACCGGGGAGGACAAAACTTTGTTGTTGTTTTTTACTGGGTAGTTTGCAAGCGCTCCCTTAGCTCTGGTAAAGCTGGAGCCCTCCCCCCCTCCGGGGCCAAAAGTTTCCACCACTGTTTTGGTGGGCATGGCTTGGTGATGGGGGGGGGGGTCATGTGACAGAGTATGCATGAGTGATGTCAAATTGGCCATGCCCACTCAGTCACATGGCCCCATCTAGCCACACCCACTGAACCAGTAGTAAAAAAAATTGAAACCCACCCCTAACTAGTCTGAATGCTGAATCATTTTTTTTCATCTTTCTCTTCCAGTGAAGCAGAAGTGCAGCCCCTGCCCCACTGGTGGAGGAGCAAAGAGGTTGGCTGTACCTGGGAGGAAGAGGCTCTGCTGGCATTGAGTGATCTTTACAGGCACCGGAGGCCGAAAAAAGAGGGTTTGTCAACCTTTCCATCGAAAAGTCGAATAAATTACATCTCAGGACATTGAAATTGCGAGATAGCATCTGGCAAAATATATATATTTAATTTCTAAAATTATTTTTCTTTCATTTTGAAGCTCTGTAGATAACCTCTTTGGGAAAATATTCATGTCTTAATAATAATTAATAATAAATAAAGTTAGAGATAAATGCAAAATAGCAATATTGAAAGAATGCATTCCATTAAATTTGTTTATGCTGTTTTTAAAAAATCCAGAATATTTGACGAACTCGGCTGCTTAAACTGGGGCATTCTGGCATTCATCCTACCCTTCTTTGGATAGACCAAGCAGCTCATCCTTTGTCCTCCTTATAGATGGCCAGGGATAACTCCACAAAGCTCATGGCTACCAAGACCTGCAATGTCTCCAAATGGCATCCATACTTTTATTATGTTGAAATGATTTTTAGAACAAACATTTAAAGGAATTTATCTGAACCTCATGGAGTCATTAATTCAGAGGCAATATGTGCAAAGTAGGGTCAGAGTAAGGGAGAAGGTGTTCTTCAGAGGCTGCCTCTGTCTCGTTTGGATATTGTGGGGTAAATTTAACCTCACTATCCTTTTCCCCCCAAAATAAGATCTCCCCGGAAAATAAGCCCAATCAAGCTTTTGAGTACATATACTAAAACAGTGTTTCTCAACCTTGGCAACTTGAAGTCCGGACATCTTCAAGTTGCCAAGGTTGAGAAACACTGCACTAAAACAAGCCCCCCCCCCCCCCAAAAAAAGCCCTGGAATAAAACT